CCTGCTGGGCTCCGGCGATCCTTCCGCCTCAGCCTTCCGAGTAGCCGGAATTACAGGCATGCCCGGCTGATTTTTTGATTTACTGTAGAGATGAGGTCTCGCTGCCCCAGGTGGGTCTCGAACCCACGGGCTCAGGCAATCCACTCACCTCAGCCTCCCAAAGCGTGGGGTTACAGTCTGAGCCCCCGAGCCTGGCTTTTTTTTTTTTTTTTTTTTGGAGACAGGATTTTGCTCTGTCATCCAGGGAAGTGCAGTAGCATAATCATAGTTCACTGAAGCCTTGAACTGGGCTCAAGTGATTCTCCCACCTCAGTGCCCCAAGCAGCTAGGACTACAGGTGAGTGTCCCCACACCCGGCTATGAATTAAATTTTTTTTGTAGAGACAAGGTCTTGCTATGTTGCCCAGGTTGATCTCGATCTCCTGGCCTCAAGCCATCTTCCCACCTCAGCCTCCCAAAGTGCTGGGATTACAGACATGAGCCACCGCACCCAGCCTTATACCATAATTTCTGTGTATGTTTCTACACCAGCTTTTCTGCCACCTTATGGCAATACATTATTTTCCTATAATATCCTCTCCACTTCCTGAAACCTCCTTCCTATTCTGACACCGTCAAATCGTCTTCTCTGTGGCCTCCCTCTTCCCACCACATCGGCAGACGACTCACAGAGCTGTTGCTCAGCTCTCTCTCTGGCCTAAGCAGTAGGACACTCTCATCCACGGCCCGGACTGCACACAGGGACCCGGGAGCTGCCTGCAGCTGCAGCTCCACGTCTGCTCCTGGAAGCTCCTGGGATGGTGAGAAGTCGAGGGAAACCTGGGGAAGGGAAAGGCGCAACTTGGGGGGTCAGGTCAGGCTGGAGAGGAGAGGAAACAACGCGATTTGGACCACCCGCCGATGTTCTCTGGCCGGGGGAGCCAGCCCAGCCCTCCACTCTTGTACTTGTGTTTCTTTGTAAAGTCTTGCTCTTGAGGACTCATATGTTATGACAGAGTTGGGAAACATGAACAGCCCCGTAGAAGGATATCGAAAGCTTGAAGACAAAAAAATAGAAAGAGAACATGTGGGATAGCTATAAAGAACACGTGGCTTTCCAGTAAGCCTTCTTAAAAAGAAGTGGAAAAGAGGTAGAGCCCAATGTAAATCTAGAACACCAAAGATGTCAATCCATCATGGCACCCAATGTCCAGAGTACCTTATTTCTCTGGCCCGCCTCGTCTCCAGGTTCAGCACACACAAGACCTTCCTCTATGCCCAACTCTTGTCGCCACCTTCCTTGAAAGCCATCTTACCTGATTGTCAAAGCACATCTCGACTGAGAAGTGAATTTTGTCAGCTATGACACCTCCACTGGGGAAAATGGTGTAGATCACCAGGGAAGGATCAGGGGCTAGTCTGGAAGTGAAGGTCAGGGAGAGTGAGAAGGAGCCTTTCAGTCCTGGAAGAGAAGAGGGAATGTGCAGGGGAGTGACAATGCACATTCACCTACCCGCAGCTCTCACTGAATATTTGCCCTTCTCATTGGGCCAGCACTGGTGGTATCGCAAGTGACTTCCCATTTTTATATTCTCCTGGGGTTATTGCTAGTGTTCTGTTCTCGTTGCTTCTGTAACAGTATATGAACTGAGTTTTTAACAATTTTCTTTTTTTTTTTTTTGAGTCGGAGTCTCACTCAGTCGCCCAGACTGGAGGGCAGTGGCCGCTCCCGGCCACCACAGCCTCGCGTGCTGGGCTCCGGCGATCTTCCGCCTCAGCCTTCCGAGTAGCCAGAATTACAGGCATGCGCTACCACGCCCAGCTGATTTTTTGATTTATTGTAGAGATGAGGTCTCGCTTGCCCAGGCAGGTCTCGAACCCACGGGCTCAGGCAATCCACTCACCTCAGCCTCCCAAAGGCGCGGGATGACAGGCTGAGCCACTGAGCCTGGCTAGCAATTTTTTAAAAACTATTTTGTAGAGACGGAGTCTTGCTACATTGACTGGCCTGGTCTTGAACTCCTGGCCTCAAGCAAGCCTCCCGCCTCAGCTTCCCAAAGTGCTGGGATTACAGGCAGGAACCACTATGCCCGGCCCATACAAACTGTTTTCTGGAAGCTTCAAATATCCTTTACTCTTCCAAGAGAAGCATATACACTCACCTTTCTTCTTAGACTTCAGGCGTTTCTGTCCCTCCATCTCCAATTTCCCTTTCCCTATTAACTAAAGAAGAAAAGAAAAGAGTCAACCACATAGAAGTGATGGTCATTTCGCCTTGGCCCTAATTCTGGAGCTTCTCTGCATCCCTCCAACCGGAGAGGCTCCTTTCACAGTTCCAGGGTCTGGGGCAAGAATTCACGCAGCATCCATTAGCTTGACAAATGCCGGGTAGAGCCAGCCAATCCTGATGACCTCCAGTTGAGGTCTAGCTGAGAACCACAGGGGTGGGAAGGGAGGGTCTGAAAGCATAGACAAGATTCCTCACAGTGGATAGCTGTCCTCCCTTTAAAAAAAAAAAATTTCCGCCGGGCTTGGTGGCTCAGCCAGTAATCCCGCGCCTTTGGGAGGCTGAGGTGAGTGGATTGCCTGAGCCCGCGCGTTCGAGACCCACCTGGGCAACTTGACGAGACCTCATCTCTACAACAAATCAAAAAATTAACTGGGTGTGTTGGCAGGCGTCTGTAGTTCTAGCTACTCAGAAGGCTGAGGCGAAAGGATCGCTGGAGCCCAGCAGGTCGAGGTTGCAGTGGTCGGGAGCTGCCACTGCACTCCAGTCTGGGTGACAGAATGAGACTCCAACTCAATAAATAAATACATGAATAAATAAATAAATAAATAAATATTGAACAGTGAAACACAGATGAAATTTATCCTGCATTCCATCCCTTCCTCACCCTCGCATCCACCCACTTCTCTTTCTTTTCTTTTTTTTTTTCTTTCTTTTTTTTTTAGAAAGCAGGATTTATTGAGAGGACAGAAAAGAAAAGCTCCCAGAGTGGGAGGGGGCCTGAAGGGCTACCCTCTTTTTTTCCAGCCCTGTCCAGCCACATTTTTCTCAGTTAATTCCTTTTTCTTTTCTTTTCTTTTTTTTTTTTTTTTTTTTGAGTCAGGGTCTCACTCTGATGCCCAGGCTGGAGTGCAGTGGCACAATCATGGCTCACTCAAGCCTCCATCTCCTGGGCTCAGGTGATCCTTCAGCCTCAGCTCCCTGAGTAGCTGGGGCTACAGGTGTGCGCCACCACACCCTACTAACTTTTTTATTTTTTGTAGAGACAAGGTCTCACTATGTTGCCTAGGATGGTCTCAAACTCCTGGGCTCAAGCAATCCTCCCACCTCTCAGCCTTCCAAAGTGCTGGGACTGCAGGTATGAGCTATCAGACCCAGCCTTAATTCCTAATTTTATTTTCCCACACAATTTTCCTGGGTTCTTGTTCAAAAATCTCTTTATTCCTCAATTCTGTCTGTCTACACTGTCATTCACCTGCCCCTCGCCACACGTGAATACTGAACACTTGAAGTGTGTCTAGTCCAAACTGAGCTATGCTTTGAGTGTAAAGTACATACTGAATTTCAAATACTTAGCTGAAATTTTTAAATGTAAAATATTCATTTTGTTGGTATTGATTTCATGTTGAAATGATAACATTTTGGATATACTGGGCTAAATAAAAATATTTTCAAAATTAATTTCCCCTGTCCTTTTTTTTTATTATTATTATTTTTTTTTTTTTTTGAGTTGGAATCTCACTCGGTCGCCCAGACTGGAGTGCAGTGGCCGCTCCCGGCCACCGCAGCCTCGACCTGCTGGGCTCCGGCGATCCTTCCGCCTCACCCTTCCGAGTAACTGGAACTACAGGTGCGGGCTACCACGCC